TGTGCAACTGTCTGAGGAGATGGGCATTGCTGGAATTGAATGATGTATTATTTATACAACACACTGTATATAATATTTAAATAAAGTTTAAAATCCAACTGCTTTGTCAAATGGATTTGTTATGCCAATAATATGCCTAGTGCAATGTCATTTTGCCATGGAACTGCCCCTTCAGGGTTATTAAAGTACTCCCTGTATCTTTCTCGCACTGCACTTGCACTTTGCGAGTAGTTGTTGGACCCAGTCTGACCAATTGGAATTAGTCCAGCAGTCGATTGGGTATATATCCCTTCGCCAGTTACCAGGTTTAAGTGAGGCACCAGCATCAACATCAATGTAACCAGGTGGGCAATAGTTGTAACTGCTTTCGGTGTGTGACCTGATTACCATCAGGTAATTATGCAAAGCAACCACGGCTCTAGCGATAGAATTGGCAGTTGACTCGCTTGCAATTATTGGCCTTCTAAAGACCTTGAATCTTGATGTAGCAATGCCAAATGTGTTCTCCATAATTCGACGAGCTCTTGATAACCGATAATTAAAGATGCTCTTAGTAACATCACCCTGCTTGCCCGGATAGGGTTTCATCATGTTGCTCTTTAGTAGAAATGCATCATCAGCCACAAAGACAGAAGGAACTTTAATTTCAGAGGAGGGCAGCTTTTCACTTGAGGGAAAACCAAGTAATTGATTGTCAATTGCAAAACCCAGCTTGCTGTTGCTATAAACACCCCCGTCACTTTGTCTGTCTGCGTCTCCCACGTCCACAAGGGTAAACTGATAATCGGCATCACAAACTGCCATTAAAACAATACTGAATGTCTTCTTGTAATTGAAAAGATCAGACCCAGACCTGGGCGGTGCTTGGACAACAACATGCTTGCCATCTATAGCTCCAATACAATTAGGGAAGTTCCACTTTTCTTTAAAGTCCTTCGAAATGGCCTTCCACTCTATTGCAGTTCTAGGAACACGCAAAAATCCCTTTTCATCGAGAACGTCCCAAATGGCTTTTGTTGTCTCCTTGATTATTTTACTTATAGTTGCTGGACCTATTCTGTACGATGCAGCGATAGTTACTTGTGCATCACCCGTGACAAGATAACGTAAGGTAACACATAGCCTTTCCTTTGGACTAATTGCTTCTCGTCTTTGCGACGACTTGAAAATACGAGGGCCTATCCATGAAAGAAGTTGCTCCAAAGAAGTAGGACTCATTCTGAACGACTTGAAAAAGTATTCATGGTCGTAAAGTTCCATGTCTTTAATTAGTAACCAAAATTCGCCTTTTATTTTTCGTTCAACAAATAACTTTCTAACCCACTTGCTCTTGAAATACTTTCTTCTCTGGATAAGTCTTCTCAACAAGTAAAGAAGAATTATTCGTCTAAGCTGCTTGCCATTGCTAGTGGCCGCCATTTTGCGGAAAATAAATTGCAAAATGCGCTGACTGTGCATTGCCATCAATCCGCCCGCAGTAAAATCCGCCTGAAAAATTCCGCCCGCTGGCCCCGCGCGCAAAATTCCACTGACTGGAAACCAGCCTTTAGGGAGCTTAAAACGGTCACTGGGCGGAATTTTGCGCGCGGAACGGAATTTCTCTTTGTCTTGTGATTTCTCCGGTGGAACTAATCAACTAATTAGAAAAGACAAAGAGAAATTCCGCTCCGCGCGGAAAATTCCGCCTATATAGTGTAAATTAAACGGACTTAAGATGCACCAAATCTGCGACGCGGACGCGACTAAAAACAGTCTCTAATAATTGAAAACTAATTTTACTTTGTTTTTCTCGTGTCCCTGGGCGCCTGGCTTTGTTTACCAACAACAATCCATGGTTTTTTACTCGTGAAGTGAAAATGTGAAAATAGCGGCAGTTTTTCGTCACGTCCGCGTCGTAGATTTGGTGTATCTTTAGCTCCGACCATATTAACTGACTAACTACAGTGAACTAACCATAGATATCTTATATATGTAGGTTAAAAGCCAAGGGAGAGGTTTTTATTAAACTGTGAAGACCGAGGGCCGAAGGCCCGAGGTCTTTACAGTTTAATAAAAACCGATACCCGCGGCTTTTAACTTGTTTATATACTCATCAGACCATATTCTTTTGAATTTTGGAGGTTTTCTTCATTAAAAATTCAAGCTATATTAATTCAATGAGAGGTCGCAGCAGTTGTGGGACGAAATAACTAGGTTAACATGCGCATTAACACGCTTTAAAATGTGGT